AATTTTCCTGCTTAGACTTAAGCAGGAATATGTTTCACTCCCTAGAAAGATGTTGGACGGATTTACACAAATCTACTGCCTGGAAAATTGCGTCCTGTATGATTCGTAAGAATGCGTACTATTATCGCAGACATAAGTTTCTTTCAAGCATATCTGCTTTGAAACAAAAATTAAACTTTGTAAGAAAGCCTATGGATATAGAAAATTTGTAATCATCAAATTCCAACCTTAAATTAAATAAATTCCTTCGTCTTCCCCCTCTAGCGTTGCTATCATCTGCCTGGAACTCTGCGCTATCTACTATACGCCGTAATTTCTGTTTGGCCGCCAATCATCTTGCTATCCAGCCCGCAAGTCATGCAGTCACCAGTCACTAGTTTGTGTACTCCACTTCCAGTCAGTCAGGCGCGAGTATTTGCAGACAGTTTGCTAGATTCCGCTCCTTAATTCACACAGCAGACTTTTCGTCTTTTGCAATCCCTGCTATTTGGCTTTTTTACTTATATTTTATTTTTTTCCTTAATTCTTTGCCACTCATACTTATTTATTTTTGGCAATTGCTATGTTTTGGTCCTGTTTTCTTTGCCATTCTCAGCAATTTTCAATTTCGAAGTCCTTTTTTTGTCACATATGCACATATATACGTACATATGCATGTATGTATGTAATTATTGATATTTTACTTTCTTTGTTATGGTCAATTACCCAATGCACAGATGAAAAGGTATGCTAAGAAAAGAAGTTTCACGTAATATTGCCTCCGCTAAACAATTACGTATATCTTTCGGTCATACACAATAATAATAATAAGTATACACAATAAGAGGCCGTAGATAATACCTCATTCCAGGGGTGTTGCAAAGATTCCACTAGATGTATCCCAAGATTTCTTCATACTATAGGCGCGTATTGTGGTTTGTGGCAGTAAGTAGTTTAAGTATATTGTATAATTTTCTACTTTCTTCTAAATATCCTGGAATCTAAATTACCATACCTCATACCTGACAGGTAAATATAGGTACCATAAGTATTCAAGCAAAGTTCTACCATAGATAAGTAAGCTAGTGGAAGGCGACCTAAACCACATCCTTTAGTCAGCCAACCAGAACGTTTTTGGAGTTAACCTCTCCAGAGGAAAAGGAATATGGAGTGAAGAGAAGGCTCTACATAGTACCTTACTTTACTTGTAATAGGCTTTCTAGAAAATAATGGGGGCTCTCGCCGTATATCAGGTCAGATTGTGGGATCCATGTGCGCGTCCTTAGTCTCGTGGAACAGACACTGGACAAAGTAAACCACATGAAAATAATAGAGAAAATGTAAGTCGAGGTCTTAGAAATATTGAAGAAAACCAAGCAGTTAATGAGATGGCTCTGACATGCCAATAAACGAAGCAGACAACTTTATACAACCGTTGTGTAGCGATTATAGCAGAAACATTGAAAAATTGAGAAATCATAGTCGATACACATGATATATCAAAAATTATGTAATATGATCTCAAAACCAACAGATCGGCAGTAAGAGTACTTACGTATCCAACATTAAATCTGTGCTATTGCACCGATACTTCACCGATGGCGAATACCAACGAGGTCAACGTTTGATGTTGAATTATCGAATTATCTGAGTGGTCAACTTTCGAGAAAAATTAAACAGGGGGGGTGTCCTTTCCCCGCTGCTGTTTAATTACTACATATCAAAGCTACCTCAACCACCACAGGGAGCCTCTATTCTTTCTTATGCTGACGACTGCTTGATAGTGGCATCTGGTAATCGAATTGATGACTTGTGCTCGAAAGTAAACGGTTTCCATTCTGAGCTTTCTCGCTTCTGGACAAAAGAGGTCCGACTTCAACTGGGTATTCACGACGATGGCGAACCAATTCCGATGGTGAATAACCCTAAAACCCTCGGAGTTACCTTCGATAGTCTACTCTCCTTCTCGGCGCATACAACTGCTATTGCCAACGGAGTACAGAGCCGCAACGAGGTCCTTAAGTCGCTGGCCGGCAGCACCTGGGGCAAAAACAAAGAAACAGTGATTGCAACATAAATACAAGGCAATTGGCAGGCCGGTTATAAATAATGCAGCGCCTTTCTGGTCGCTGGGGACTAGCAGGACGCAGTGGACCAGGTTACAGGCTTGCCAGAACACGGCGCTCCGGTCCACGAACGGATGCCTTCTGATGTCGCCTCAACATCACCTGCAATAGGAGGCCCATACAATGCTCTGAAAGCAGGTGTAGTACGGCGCCACAGACGCGGAAACCCGAACAGGCAACTGCTTGCAGAAGAGCCATCGCCAAGGCACGTCAGAAGGCATCTTTACGAACTGACGGGCGATGTCAAGAGGTCCATAAAACAACCGACAGATCTTAAACGGCATTCACAGAGAGTTGGTCTCATGTTACATAGACTATCGATATGTGAATGGGAACACAACCGTCCGACGTGGACCGGACAGAACTTTGGCTGCATCGGGAGACCCGCACAACAATGGCCCAACTTCGCTTTGGATGTGGAACCACAGATCCTGTAGAAGTTGCGCACTTCCTGTGCCTCACCTTAGCTGAGCCAAACGACAACGTTGACGAATGAACTGACTCGAGGTCCCTCTCAGTTGGCCACCTTCTATGTCTCAAACACCTAGGGTCACTTGTCTTCATAAGTCTCCCAAATATAACAGAGATCCAAGTCTGGAACTTTCTCCATTTAATTTGGTATACATAGTGGTTCAGGGGGGTTAATGTTTAGATTATTCTCTACTTTATCATTGTAAGGAAAATCGGTTGAGTGGTACTCGCTCCTCCTGGTACTCACTCAAAAAAGACACTCACAATGCTCCGCAAGTACGAATATGGAAATTTCTATACACATTCTTTTAACCCTTACAGTTGAAATTGGGGTTCAGCCAGTTAACGAACCATAGTTGAAGCACGATTTATCTACATCTTATACCGGTAATTGATTAGTAAGTAGTAGGAAATACGCCGAATATATTTTGATATGACACAGAATATAGGAGACATAGTTTTTTTAAGATATTTAGTTCGAAGTATTGATGAGATAATAGTCCAATATTTACAAGTCTGGTCAGTGAGTCAGTACCGGAGTGAGTCAGTGTCGGATTAGATGGTCTATAGTCCTGGTTCTTCTGAATATGGCATGTTTGACGTTGCTCATAGTGCTTTGTCTGCTTATGTGTTATTGATTATAGCTTAAATTTCCTTATGGAGATCCCCAACTCGGGGAACTATAGGATTAATCTACCGGGGTTGATTATGAAAATCCTCGAGTCCTATCTCTTCAGCCAGGAGCATGGAGCGAAGTTAAAATTTGCGTTTCGTGATCTTCGTATCAGTGCGTTTAGAAACGTACGGTTTTTGATTATAATGAAGTCATAAACTTGGCTGATGTTGACGTACTATATACATATTATATTGGTAGATCTGAAGCGAGAATTGGTTGCCCGCCAATGCCAATTATTAGATCTCTGCTAGCTACGGTGATATCTGGCAAGCTGTGGCAGTCACTCTCATCCTCCTCGTGGGGAAGAGGGTACGGCAAGCTGAATGTACACGTTGATAATATCGAGTTCACTAGCCCTAGACTTGATTGCTAGGCTTTAGTATTCGATGAACGAGTTGGAGGTATCATCAAGAGGGGAAGTAATCAGCTAATATCGCACGGAGTTTTGAAGAATGAAGGCAATGAAGCCAACAGAGCCACGTAGACGGTTTTTTTTGGAATATGTTGAACTAATTCGGGCTTTGGACGCTCCACCTAGAATGTAGTTTAGGCTCCTAGATGCCGCCAACTAGGAAGTTGTTACATCTGGAAGGAGATGTAACTCGCTTTTCTGGCATTCGAAAAATTTTGTACATCATTTGGATGTTGCGTGGGCTCTCCCACGAACCTTGAACCCATCAAGTGGTAACATACAACTGAAGCCATTCGGCCAAGCCGGTCCTGGTATTAATCGAACTAAAACAATTGTACTATTAAAAGGAAAAGTAACCGATGCTTAAGGTAATACACGCTCTTCAGCGGAAGGGCTGTAAACAATCTTTACCTTCTAAGAGCATTTCCCCAATGCGCTGGGCATAAAATGCTCAAACACATTCTCCATACACAGCATCATACACGTTTTTATTCGATTTCTTTTTAGCAACAAAAATAAAAGCATCAACTCGCGCTGTCGCTCATACATTTGGCAGAGGGAGAAAGAAGCAAGGTGCCAGCCAAAATGCTGGTGAGCCCAAGGCGTAAAGATTTTGTATGCGCTACATGTAGTAGCACTTGTCGGCTTTAATAGTTATATTTTGAAAAATTCGCTTAGCTGGGCAAACGTACTTATGTATGAGAGAGTATGTGTGTTCGCTTTTGTTGATGCGGTCGTATATGCCGTTACACTCAGCTGGTTTGAAAGTCCTTTACTCAATGGCCGGTGCTTCGTTATGCTTACTTTGTACCGGAATGCATGATGAGTCAGATTTAGTTCGTGCCAAGGCGACTTGGTACGAGAGAAATTTCGCTTATCTGCTCTCACGAATAGCGTTAACGGTACATATATGTTTTTATACATTTATGTTTTGTAGGGTTGGTTGGTTTGTTTACTTGGGAGAAACTTTTACGACTGTGCTTTTTTACGTTTCGCACTCTCTCTGTGTTCTCAGTCACTTTGTCCTTCGAACAAGCGTACATACTTACATACAAACATATGCATGTACTTAACCCAAAATATACTTATATATGTGCGTGCAGATGTGTGTGTGCAAACTTTCATCTCTTGTCCTACGGGACTGGAGGTTGCGTCGATAAAAAAAGGTTCGCTCACCCGTACGCTTTGTTCGTCCCTGCATTCACAGATTGATAGATACATACATATGTACATACATATGTACATACATATGTACATATGTATGAACCTACATATGTTTGGTACTGCGTTGTCTCGTTGGCTAGTCACTGCGTTTATTTTCCTAGCGGTGCGTGCGCTGAGCAGACGTAGTTAGACACGGTTGTTCCGGCGAACGGAAAATATATTTTTGCTGTGGTGTTTTTGCCGTTGGTCACTTTGTAGGCGTATTTTGTGAAAGTTGCGTGTGAGTTTTCGAAATTCGAAAATTTAAACGTAAAAGTTGAATTGCAACAAAACGGTTTCACGCAAATTAACGGTTGTGCGGCAGCTGAGGTGATTTCAGAAGTCATTTTAAATTGTGCTTAAAAGGTGTGCAAAAGCTTTTTTCATCTATGAAAATGAACATGGAAAATTTAGATATAAAATAAATAAAATTGCACTGCCCTGTTGCAATTCCTGTTCCTGTCCCCGGTGTTGCACGTGGATTGCAAAATTGATTAAACAAAAAATCTAGCACACAGGTTGCCTTGGTGCTTTAATGCAAAAATTTGCATACGACTACATTCCCAGTTAGCTGTTACACTTTCGCAATCAAAATAAACCATAAATTACAGTGAAACAGTTGCGCGGGGTATTTAAGCGAAAGTAAACAAAGTCGTTAAGCCGAAAACTTTGGCGAAAAAAGTCGTAATATATTGTAAAAAAATGGTGTTGGGTGCTGTTAGTAGTTTAAATGTACATAGTTGAGCAAACGAAAACAATAGAATACATATGAGTAGTCTTACTTGCAAAGTGCGCTATGTAAAATTTTTTCGATTTTTAGTTTTTGGTGGATTACGTACCAGTATTTAAAGTAGTTGCATGTCCACTAACAACACAGTGCAAAATCTTTTTACATTTTGAAAAAAATAGCATCAAATATTAACTCTTCTTCCAAAAGTCGCTATCATACTTATTTATAATCTTTCAAAAGTATACATCTTCTGATAAACTTAGAAAACTGCTTTAAGTCGTATAGACTGTTAATATTATCTTATGTCATGTTATGTTTTGTTACAATTTTATAAAGCTCTTATTTATCCAAATTTTCAGGTAATAATCAAAAAGATTCAATTTAAATGGTACTTGTTGTCGTAGTGGTTTTTTCAAATTTATGGCGTTCTATTAACGCTGTTTGCAAGTGGACTACTCATATGTAGATACTCATGCAAAACTTGTGTTACTATAAAATTAGGAGAAAAAAATAACAGCATAAAATAAAATTAATTGGAAAAAATGAAATACAATAAAATAACAAAATATTAAAATAAATAGGAATAAACTAAAATAGAGTAAACTAAAACAAGCTGAAAGACTTAAACGAATTAAACAATATTATTAAAAGAAGTAAATAAATAAAAAAATTAAAAAAAAAATTAAAATAATGGACTAAACAACTAACTAAAACAAAATTTTTTTTTAATTTTTAAAGATGTTGCAAAACTAAAATGAAATAAAATAAATTACATACAATTAAATTAAAATTAATTAAAAATATAATAAAAATAGCATACAACAGAAAATTAATACTGAAAAAAATTAATAGAAAATAAAACAAAAGTAAAAGTTTAACATGAATTAAAAAAATTTGAAAAATATAAAAGTAAAATAAAATGAAATCATTTATGTTAATAATTTAAAATAAGACGAGACAACAAAACAAAATATCGGAAAATGTGTAAAAATACAAATTAAATGAAAATAAATAAACTTTAAACAAAAAATTTAAAAATTATATTAAATTTAATTGAAATAAGATTAAAAAAGTAACATACATTAAAAACAATAACGCAAAAAATGTATTACGTACATACAATTGTTATAGAACTGAAATGAAGTAAAACTAAATAAAATTAAATAAAAAATTAATTAATTAGATAAAGTTAAAAAAATAGAATAAAATAAAATAACAAAAATAAAACAAAACACAAAATTAAATAATGGAATTAAGTGAAATACATTAATAAGAAATAAACCTTAATTAAAAACTTAGCATGGACTAAAAAATTATGAAAAAAATTAAAAAAAAAACAAAAAATTATGGTAATTTAAAATAAAATGAAAAGAGTACGAAAATAAAGTGAAAAGAGTGATATGAATGAAATAAGAACCAATAGATTTAAAAACCAGAATGAAAAAAATTAAACTTTATAAAATGAAAAAGTAACAAATTAAAACAAAATAAAATAAAATTTATGAATACAAAAAACTTAAAAAATATAAATTAAAATAAAATGAGAAACAAACAAAAAATAAATAAATAGAAAATAAAAAATTTTTTTTTAATTGTATAGAAAGTAATATGTCTGTCCATATGTTAGAGAAACAGTGGAAATATGTACTCATATTGCTTATTCTAACAGAGAGAGAGACCACCTCATTTGTATTGACGAATTTGAGAAGGAAAATACAAAGTTCATAGAAATCCGATGCATAAGCATTAATCTACAGCATTTCTAAAACATATACATACTGGGGGTTGAGTATCTCTACATATAAATACAAATAAAATACCAATTGAGATCATTAAACTATTTTGGACATAAGAAGAGTGTTGAGGGTTCTTCTCACGATAGCTCTTCGATGATTTCGTTACTCTCGTAAAACTCACAGTAATTTCGTTGTGTTTTGTTGCCAAAAATTTAAAAGTTGTTCACAGTATTGAAAAGTGCCCGATGGCCGCTGAAATATCTGCAAATCGACACAAGAGTGGCCTGTACCTAATACAATAGAAAATCTAGTGGCAGTTCTATAAATGTCCACAGACTGTGAGACTAACCACGTATCAAAATGGAAACTGCCATGGTCGACAACCATTTTGAGTTTGAGGAATTATGTAGGAGTGAATTTAATACCTTAGTTAGACATATGTTTTTGTCACTTTTGTAAGGTGTACGATATAAGTAGTATGTTAATTTGTGGTATTTAAAGCTTGTTTCTCTGTAATCGATAACTCAAAAGTCTTAATTTCGGATAGATTCAGTTGGGATTCTGAGGCTTGTTGCAATTGAAATACCTCAGCTAGGAAACCGAAGCATAGGCCTCAAGATAAAAGTGGGGCTTATCCTTTAACTTCGATAAAGATACCAGATCGTGACCCAGAGTCAGTTTTGGAGCCATCAGCGAATATTCGACAATGTGTGAGTCCGGGCTCAGTGCTGGTATGAAACCAATATTCAACCTCAGGGAATTCAACATTATAGAATCTCTTTAACAAAGGTAATGGTGGCGTACTATCCTGTGGCAAAAGGATGTACCAGGCATAGTAACATTCGAGGTGATTCGAACTGGGATTAGGAGTACCTATCGATACCTGTAAGCTTATTACAAGGGAAATATCAATGAAAGAACCGAGTGGAAGTTGGAGACAACTTGATGTCTGTTAGAAAGAAAATTCACATTATTTATTTACTGCTTGAGGCCTGTTATTAAATTACAGCGCTATCAAGAGACATACAGAAATATTTTGGTGTTCCTCACAATGACTTTTCCAAAAGAACCAGAGCCAAAGGCGTGACTGAATTATTGAGACATTGACGATTTGATTAAGTTAGTAAGGCTGAGGCCATTGTTCATATTTGCAGAACCTACACGTTACTTTTATCAATTGAGATCTGCGAAAGATTCACGCTCTGCCGAGATCATCATCAGATCATCAGATTGTCAAAATTTTTCCATGAGATAAGTTGATGATTTGACTCGAATTATTAATAGAGTTTGATCACGTCTAGAAAAAATCTTCGGCACAAAGTCTTAAAAGTCACCATAATGGAGTTCAAAACCGCGATTTGACTAAAACGTCATTTAAGATTAGATGCAGTGTCTGCTTACTCTTAGACCTGACTATGTAGATTTTCCCGAAGTAAAAAGTGAGGCGGAGGGAGACATATCTCCACGTCGATTTCGCCAATAGGATAATAAAGATGTTATTGGAGATTGGGGTAGAATTATTGGTTAGATATCACTTCTTTCCCGAAGCTATAAATTTACAAAGCCGCTGCTGCCGTTATTCAGGGTTTCACCACAGGGATTTATTAGAATTTCATACATTCAGCAGGGTCTAAGTGACCGAAACGACCCAGATGTATATATGGTCAAGGGCTGTCACTTAGCAACATTTCCCAAAACTGTTTGAGGATTTTTTTTTGCTGTTAGAATAACAACAAGTTTAATTTCATAACGATTTAAAAAACGAGCTTAGCTGCTTTGACTTTATTAACAAGAAATATGCTTCCGATCCAAGACTTAACAATGGGAGAGGGAAGTACATAAAATAAGGTTAACTTCCATATCGCAGTAAAGGTTCTGAAGGCTGACAGAGCCGGCGCTGAATCAGCAGGGAATCGTACTATGCCGACAATACAACAAAAATTAGTTGAGCTTGGGTAGGAACTGGGGGACACTTAGGTTAGGTAAAAAAGTCATCATAACAGGATACTTTAGAGATCTCAGCTAGAAGTTTTAACCCCATTTCGAGTAACATAAGAAACCCACGGCGAAGATCGATTGAAGCAAATGAATCATTTACAATTATATTTTGGTGCCAGTGTACCAGATTTCGAGTCCAAACGAGAAAACATACGTATTCATGAATAAAATTTCTTCAGACTTCTGACTACGCATTTTTAAATGAAATAAAGAACAAATGCAAATTTCTAAAATAACTCAAAAATTTTCAGATTTAAAACTTAGTTCACAAATAACTTTAAACGGCAGGATATAGTATTTCAGGAAACAGAAAAAATTAAAAAAGAAAAAGTTTACTAAAACATACACCCACCTCAATCATCTAAATTAATAAAGTTCGCGCTAGAAATAAAACACCAAAAAGTTTTTTGTATTCAAAAATATTAAAATTGTGGTAGTGGAAGTTCAAAATTAAAATCACATATTCGCAGTGCAGCCAACAAAAACCGCAGTTATTACCGCAGCGCAGCGCAGCAAAACAAAAAGCAGCTACGAAAACTACAACAACATAAACGATAGCAACAACCAGAACTGGGCACAAATACAGCTACAGGCAGCAACGCATTTATACCAACGACCACAGCCATAACTTTCCAACAGCATCCAACAAAAACAACAACAATAGAAAGGCAACATTAAAAGAAATCCCTAAAGGCACACGAAAATGGGCTGCAATACCAGTCAGGAGCTGAAGACAAAAGATGGCCACGCTGGCGACGCTAACGGTGGCGAGGGTGAGCTCGTCGTCAACACCGCAACCACCAATGGTGATGTTGCCGTAAATGCTGGCAGCGAGCAGAATGGCAATTTGTTGGAGCAGCAAAAGGCCGGCAGTGGCAGTGGCAGTGGTGGGCGTGGAGGTGGTGGTGTTAGTGGTGGCGATAACACACAAACTAGATTGACAGCATCCGCAGCTTCTGGCGTATCTGCCGTCTCAGCCTCATCCGCAGTTTCGGCTGCCTCGGCTGCGTCTGCGGCTACGGCGACGTCAAGCAATCCCACAAATCACTCGAAATCAAATTCAATTATAAGTAACGGTGATGCTAACAAGCGCTCCTCGAGAGATGAGGGTGACGGTGGTATACTCGAGAAAGCGTTAGCAACTGTGAAGAAGCAGCAGCAGCAACAGCAATGCGATAAGGCGGAAATAGTCGAGTTCAACGATATGGGCGAATTGGGTGAAATGGGCGAAGATGAAGGTGAGTAGGTGAAATGCCGAGATATATACATATGTATGTAAACAAATACCGTTACCTTTTTTCGTTCTTCTTTTTTTACTTCCGATTTACCAAACTTTTCATTTTACGTCTGCCTTTTTGCGCATTTTGTTTGCCCTATTCCACCGCCTCAGAGCGGGGCCGCGGCATTTGGCTGTTTTTGCTGGCTTCGTCCCTTGTTGAGTTTATAAGCTGATTCAGGTAGCACATACACACTCGTTTTGCACGCGCTGCCAAGGTGTCCTTTGCTCCCTACCTAATCAGTACGCTTACTGCACGCAGCCGGTTTTCAGCGAGTTATTGCTGCCGATGTGCTTCGCATTTTAAATCATCGAATTAGATTCCGTTGGTTCGGGACTTTTGTCAATTTGTTGCGTCAATTTTGTGGCTCACGCGCAGCAAATCTACTTAGGACAGTTACCTGTATCGAGATTTATCCATCTAAGTTGTCTTCGCCTTCACTTCCACTGAAGGAATAATCACGGAAATTATTGTTTTTTTTCATTTGGCGCCTACCTTTTTCCATTTTGCAGCTAAAGAGCTTTGCAAATTATTGTACAGATGTCAGTTTTTTATTATTTTTTCTTTCTTTTCGCCTATATCCAGTTTATAATTCATTCTATATCCAATTTTCAATTTACGCGATTATCTAAAATACAAAAGGGATTTGATGACAGATGTATGTAAACAAGTTATAGTACATGGGCTTAAGATCTTTAGTACATACATATACATATGTATATGTAAAATACCTTAGAGGGCATTAAGTTGCAAGCTTTGGATGATGGGGTTAGTCCCACTCTATGCTCTGTAGTAAGGAGTCTCTTAAAGATTACTGCAATCAAATTGAAACGTTGGTAATATTGTTTAAAATAAGCTCATCAATAGATTTGATTCCTGCTTTGCAGGGATAAAAATGGCTGCCGGCCTGGAAGCAGTTTTTTGCTCTGTAATTTGCGACAAAAAAGCATGGAAAACAAGGGTTTTTGCTGAGTGCCTGGATGAGCTTTTCCTCCAATTTGTGGTGGGCGCCTATAGGTTGTTACACAAGTGGAGGGCTTACAGTGTTACGCCGCCACCGAACGGCAGTAAGTTTAGTTTCTGAATCCAAAGTAAAAGGATTTCAAAAAGCATTGCGATCCAAATAAAGGTGAGGGCACCAATAGACCCTTCAAACCTTGTAAATTATTTCTCTTAGATAACATGAGGTCGAGAATTCAATTAACTTTGGAATGAAGCAAGTCCCAAGCAATATCTTTACAGGAGTCTGAGGAGAACCACCATTCTTCCCGGTTTATCCGCGAGAGGATCTTGATAGAAAGTTGAATGGACGAATTAATTGGTATGTTCACCACTTCCAAAAAATTTAAATTTCTTGTCCCTGAGGAAAAAGCAAACCGCTTTGGTGATCGGAGGAGCTTTTCTACCTTAGGGTCTTGAGCAGAGGCCTATTAAACAAGGCCAGGAGAAGTAAATCAGCCTAAGACTGAGTTCTGTCCGAGATTAGGAAAACGAAGCGAAACTTCGTGAAGACTCTTCTGTGAAAGCGTGGAGGACAGTCAGAAGTGTTTGTGATTTAGGCGAGTTCTCTCTGAGAATTCCGCTGCCCTGGGATACGAGAGCTATAACTGGGCGATGAGCAGCAAAGAGTCTCTTCGATGCTCACTTTCCATACAATTCGGATCCAGGAAGGATTCCCTTATAGGCTACGTGCCACGAAATGAAGGTTTCGGAAGGCCCGACCGAGGATCGCTTTCTTTGAGTCATTATCTCTTTCTAGTTTCTTAAGGCCTAGACCTTGATAACAAAAGGAAAGTTTCCGGAAACACTGTTTGAACTTATGCAGGGTTGCCTTAACTTCGTTGGGAACTGGGCTTTTAGTTGGCGACTGGGAATAAACCCAAGTAAAACGGAGGTTACTCTTTTTACCGAATTGCCGTCTTCTCTCAATGGGCGGTCTTTCTCTGAGGATTTCTGACGGGGCGAAGTACTTGGGCTTGATCCTTGACAGTAAGCTTTCCTGGAAGACTAACGTAGAGAAAAGAGTTAAGAAGTCTACGGTAGCCTTGTATTGTTGAAGAGGGGCCATTGGTATGGGCTTGGGTCTTCCGCCGAAGGTAGCTCACTGGCTTTATGAATTAATAAATAATCCAATTTTATTGTATGGAGTACTCGTCTGGTGGAACGCACTGGACAAGGCTTTCATTGTGAAGCAGCTGGAAAGGGTACAAAAAGCCGCCAAGCTATGGACACTCCAGTATTATAAAAGGCTTGGGGTTCCTATCGACTCGGACCGTCCCCCATCCACATCCCAGCGAGAGAGAACTGGGAGGGGTGCAGTATCTGGATTCGTGGTACTGTAAACTTATTTACAGTTGGACCGAAGCTGAATTGGAAGGTAGGTGAAGATTTCTCCTACGAAAAACTGTCCATCAGCCTGAAAGTTAGGTTACCTTTTCACTGTAGTATCTTCCAAGCAGAGGTGACGGCAATAAAAAAGGCTTCGGGTCAGTTTCTCTCTGGTGTAATACCTTTTAAAGTAGTGAATGTTTATTTCGGCAACCCAGCAGCTTTGATAAGCTATTGGCTCCTTCAGGGTGCGTTCGAGAACGCTGAGAGAGTGTCTGACTTCCTTATTGACCGCATCGGATTTCTTCGTTATTTGGATTCCAGGTCACGGCGAAATCACTGGAAACTGCATGGCCAATTAACTGGCAAGACAGCGAATCGTTGAGGAATTACTTCTGCTGCGAATCTGCAAGGTATCTTGGTATAATACTCGATAAAAAGCTGAAATGGGTGAAAAACGTTAAAAACCTGGTACACTGGCTATATACTGTAGTAGTCAGACCTATACTTATCTATGGCTTAACGTTGGGCGACCAAGCGTAGAGAAAAATCTGTATAATGTGCGGACAATATCCAGAGAGGACATGATTGCCATCCTCAACGTCTTACCAATAGAATAAATGGGCATGAAATGCGGTGACGAAAACGGTAACTAAAAAGTTGGAAAACACAGAGAGGTGGTCATGCTACATTCTTAATTACCAAAACTTATCGAACAAAAAGGAGTACCGTGTAGCACCACTCACCTTCAATAAAAGGTATCATTACAAAGTAGAGAATCATGACTAGAAGGAGTCCCGTGGCATAAAATTTCGATTCGGCTCTACACTGATGGATTCAAACTTGATAAGATGCTAGACGGAGAAGTATACACTGAACAACTAGTACTGCTGTTGGTTTTCCAACTCCCAGATCATTGTGTATTTTTCAAGCCGAATTAGCGACTATAGAGGAAGATGTTCATAGTCTATGTTGTATAGTTGTTACAGAAAATATAATTAACTTCTACTCCGACAGTCAAGGCAACTTGATTCCGTCTCGACGGATACGGTAGCGAACTGATTTGCGTCTAATATGGGTACTCTGGACATTGTAACATACCAGAAAACTAAAAAGAAGACGAGCTTCCAAGAAAGTATACGTCCGCACTAGGAATTTTTCTAAAAGAAGCTCGCACAAGCTACATATCACCAAACTCATGTTTGCAGAGAGGGACATGAGAAAATCGCAGGGCTTCTATCGTCAGCCATAGGAATACTTACCGGTCACATACTCTTAGGGAAACAAAGAGAGCGATAAGAAATGTTGCACAACGACCTCTGCAGAAGCTGCCTTGATGTTGCCGTGGGAATCTCTGCACTAAATAGAAGACAAAAAAAATTTTGGGTACAGGATTTTGCGCAACGGCAAAGTTGAGCATACGGCAGCTGCCCAGATTCACTGACTCCACAAACTGGTTCAAGAAGGATTAGGGGTTTTTTCAGATCTCAGCCCTATCTGTCCTGGTAAGCTAACCAGCACTCACCTGAATCTAATCTAACCTAGATAACATATTTTCCACTGAGCTTTGAACTACATCTGGCTTATTAAACTCTTTACAAAGAAGGCTTGTCTTAAACTTGACCAGGAGGAAATTTTGCTGTGAAATTCCTTATGGTGATTAATGGAGTTCGATATGTAAAACAATAAAACAGAAACGTGGAAAGGTACGCTTGATTCCGATGATAGATTTACTAATATATCTTCTAGTAGTACTCTGATCTGAAACAGTATTGAGTTCCCGCCTGCACTTCGAGTCCGCACTCCATATACAAATAGAGGCAAAACTCAAATTTAAAAACAGTGCAATTTTCCTATTGAAACAAATGAAATTGAGTTGTAAATTTTTATGCAGTCAATTCCCATTGCGGCTGCTGCCGCCATTACCAATTTATTGCACAATTTTCGTTTCGCTTCCCGCTCTCTAACTTTTGCAATCAATGCAAATTACACTATTGCAAAAATTTTCCGCTGACTTTGAGTCATAAATCGCGGCATTTTTAATGACTCAGTGGTTTTTAAATGGCGGCAGGTAGCTTGGAATGAGGGTGGAGATCAATAAGTAGCTTTTGGCTGACCGAGAAGTTGTGAGTGCTTTGCTTAGTCACCGAGAAGCTTGAATACAAATATTTCCCAAATGATTCTGAGTGGGTGTTTGACCTTTCGGATTATTCTGCAAGTTAATCACGCCTAATTTATCATTGTTGTTGGTGTTTATTGCAATATTATGAACTTTGTAAAAGTTATAACTTAAGCGTGATTGACCTTTCGGCATATTGTCTTCCTGCTGCTTTAATAAGCAATTCATGCTGCACTGCTTTCTGTGGTTATGTCACAACACCAGGCTAGGCAACACCATTAGCCCCATCATAAGTTCTGGTATTGCGGAACGGGTTAAAACGTAATTCCAACCAACAATACTGCGGGACTTAACGAAATATTTCCCGGTCGACTACAAGTAGTTAAATGCATACTTGTTTCTGCTTGCTTAGATCTTTGCAGCCTGCCTAAACCTAACTCACATTCCACACGAGTAGACAAAGTCAAGGGGTGGTTTCTATCAAAAGGGGGCAGGGGCGCTCATGAGAGATCGA